GCTTACTTCACTTAATATCATTTTTTCTAAGTCTTTCCATTTTTTTTTTTACAAATGGGTGTATACCATTACTTAAATTTTTTTTTACCATTTTAAAATATATTTTTATTGTAAAGATACTGTTCAGAGGGGTGACAGTTACATGCGTAAAGTAGTAAGTCCATTTCCTAGCCAGCATTGTTACCCCCCTCCTTTGTTTTTTCCCTACCATCCCTTCCCTCCGCCCCTCCCCAACTCCTCCCTCCCTCTCCCTCAAAGTTGTAAAGTTCATTTTCAACATAGTGTCTTGCACATCTTGTTGTTACAATGGGTCTCCCTGTATCCTTATTTCAGCATTTTGTTATTTCCCTTCTCCCCCCCCCACCCCGCCAAATTAGAAAAATGTATATATAGTAGGGTACCAGAATCAAAAACAGTGAAAACAAGGGTTATACCATGGGAAGAACATACAAAAGAAACAAAAAATCACATAGTACATTATAAGTACATTAAAAACAAAAGCAACAAAGATAAAACCTCTTCTGTCCTTATCTTGGGGTTCATTTCACTTAGCATCATCTTATATGGTCATGTGTACATAGCTTTTGACCCTTTCTGCTTGTCCTAGACATACATATACTAGTTATTACAGATAAGGGAAACCATAGGACCTATGTTTCTTTGGGCCTGCTTTACTTCATTTGATATACCATTACTTTTAAGAGATAACTTTTAAGGGCTAAGATTGGAAATATGTCCCATGCCATATTGATGCAAGAGTTAAAAAAGAACGGCTATGTTTAGTCTTTTGAGGAACTTCCATGCTGCTTTCCAGAGTGGTGGAAAGCTTACATTCCCATCAACAGTGTAGTAGCGTTTGCTTTTGGCCACATCCTCACCAGCACTTGGTATTATAGTTTTATTGACAATGGCCATTATAACTGGGGTGAGGTGGAATCTCACAGCAATCCCACTCCTGGGCATTTATCCAAATGACCACAAACAAGGCAACACTAAAGCTCCCAGCACAACCATGTTCATTGCAGCATTATTTACCACAGCTAAGATAATGGAAATCAGACCAGATGCCATATAACAGAATTCTATGATTCCATCAGCAAGAACGACATTGCCCATTTGTAAGGAAATGGAAAGACTTGGGAAAATTTTTTATTGAGAAGTCAGCCAGACCCAAAGAAACGCAGACTGCATGGTTTCCCTCATTTGCAATAGAAAGTATCCTAGAATATGTCTAGGATAGACTTAGCAGAGGATCACAATGGCTCAATACCTATGTGTATCTAACCATATAAAATGATGTTAATCGAAATGAACTCCAAGAAATAGAAACAAGAGGTTTTTTTAGCATTCTGTTTGCAGTTATTTCCTTCTTTTTTCCCCCTTTGGTTTATTTCCCTTTGACACTGTTTTTGATTTCTGTACCCATTGTCTTATATATATGTTTATTTGTTTTGGAGAAGGGCAGGGAAATCACAGAAATGTTGGGACAAAGGGTGAACTAATGTAAGTGATATTCTTTGACACTATGTTGGGAATGAACTTTACAACTTGGGGGCAGGGGAGTCAGGCATAGGAAGTGGGAGAAATGGGGGTGGAGTAACACTGTTCAAAAAGAAATGTATTCATTACCTAACTAATTTAACTGTAACCCCTTTGTACATCACCTTTACAATAAAAAAAATTTAAAACCATTAAAAAAGAATGGCTATTCTTAAAACAATTCTAGGCAAAAAAAGACAATACGGAAGGGATCACGATGCCAGACTTCAAACTCTATCATGGAGCCATAATAACAAAGACAGTTTGGTCCTGGCACAAAAACAGACCCAAAGACCAATTGAATAGATTAGAAGAGACAGAAATAAAACCACATGCTTACAGTCAGCTAATATTTGACAAATAAGCCAAAGACATACAGTGGAAGAAGCACAGCTTCTTCAATTAAACAAGGTGGCCACATGCAGAAAACTAAAAGCGGGCCCCAGCCTGTCACCATGCCCAAAAATCAACTCAAAATGGATTAAAGACCTTAACCTCAAACCTGAAACTCTGAAACTACTGCAGGACAGAGTAGGAGAGACACTTGAACTTATAGGCACAGGCAGGAACTTCCTGAACAGAGTCCCAGGGTCACAACAAGTTGGAGAGAGACTCGACAAATGGGAGTACCTTAAAATAAAAAGTTTCTGCACAGATAAAGACATAGCAACCAAACTAGAAAGACAGCCAACTAATTGGGAAAAAATATTTACCAGCAATATATCAGACAAGGGAATAATATCCAGCATATATAGGGAACTCAAGAAAAGATTCCCTCCCAAACCTAACAAACCAAATACTAAATGGGCAAGGGAACTAAAGAGAGACTTAGAAGAAGAGATAGAAACAGCATAGAAACACATGAAGAAATGTTCATCATCCTTGGTTGTAAAGAAAATGCAAATAAAAACAAATCTGAGATACCACCTTACCCCAGTCAGAATGGCCCACATCTTAAATTCAGCCAACAACAAATGCTGGAGGGGATGCAGAGAAAGAGGAACTCTATTGCACTGCTGATGGGAATGTATACTAATACAACCACTTTGGAAAGTAGTCTGGAGGTACCTCAGAAAGTTAAATATAGACCTCTCCTATGACCCAGCCATACCACTCCTAGGCATCTATCCTGAGCAACAGGAACCAGGATACAAGGAGACATGCCTCTCCATGTTCATTGCATCACTGTTCACAATAGTCAGGATATGGAAACAACCCAGATGCCCCACTACAGATGAATGGATCAAAAAAATGTGGTACCTATACACAACAGAATATTATGCAGCCATTACAAAGGACAAAATAATGGCATTCGCAGGGAAATGGATGGAACTAGAAAAAATCATTTTGAGTGAGGTAAGCCAAGAGCAAAGAGACAAACAGCACATGGTCTCCCTGATATGAGGATGTTAAATACAAAATGTAAGGAGATATGACAAAGTAAACAGAGCTTGAGAAACAAAGGACCTCCACTCATCTTGTTGTATCATTACTAAATGACCCCATGCTGCTGACCACATATATGGTATATATGCACACATCTGAGGGAAACTAGGAGGAAGACACAGAATCAGAGGGAAATGGGAAAACATACAACAGAGGGGCCCATCAGCTGCACTGGACATAGATGGAAATGAACTAAGCAACTCAAGGACAGCCATAGGAGGGAGGGAATGAGAGGGATAGAGGGAACAGCTAACACTAAGCAAAAGGAAAGAAATGTACATATCACCCAATGTGGAAGAAATAGCTGTATTGTCAAAGATCATAGAATTCACAAACTTTATAGACCATGATAATGACAATTTGCCTCATGAAGGTTAGAATATGTTTGTGACTTTAAGTATCACTAGCTCACAATACTATGAAATTTGTGAAATTTATGTAATCACCTAATCACAATAATTAAAAAAAAGAATGGCTATTCTTATTTCTGAAGTGGGAAACAATGAGAAGAAACTGTAGAATCAGATAGTCTCCTAACTTCCACTGGCTCAACTTCTAACAGTCTGTGATGAGGAGAGTTTGACTTCACATTTTCAGCTTGCAAAATAGTAATACGAAATATCAAGCCAAAACAGTGGATACTACAAAACAGTTAATAGTATATTTATACATACTTTCTTAGTCAAAATACCTACTGAGAGATATCATTTAAAACTGTTTTATTTCTAACCTCTAGCTTATTATTCCCAGTTTTAAGGATATGAAATCTGCGGCCCCTAGCTATTAATTCAATCTAGGCAAAATCAAATTGGATAAATGACACTCTGATAAAGAGAAAAACTTGTTTAGCATTAGAACCAGTTAGAAAAGGCAACTTAGAATTTAAAGGAAAGAAGAAGTAGGGAAAGGTAAAGACCAACTGATGTAAAACTTTGTTCAGAACATGTAGGAGACACTGGAAGGAGACTGTGAGTTTGAGAGATTTGGATATCATTGAGTATTAATCTAAGAACATGTAGCACTAATTTAAAATGGTAGCCCATACCCAAAGCAGATAACTTAATCAATGAAGATCACATAAAACAATAGTTCTTACTCCATACTCTTCCAAGAGCATCCGGAAAAATGAAATGCAAGGTATAGCCAGATATTGAGTAACTCAGACCACAGTTCCTAGTTCTACTACCCAAAAAGTCTCCTCTCTTTTATGTATTAGATAATTAGGAGCATCTATCTATCTATCTATCTATCTATCTATCTATCTATCTATCTATCTATCTATCTATCATCTCTCTTCAAATGGTTGTACCCAGGGTTACAATTTAACATACCCAGTTATATGTAGAGTGCATCTTAATCAAAGTCATTCCTTCCATCATTCTCCCTCTCTCTTCCACCTACCCATTCCACCATCTGCCAATTGTTTCCTTTCTACCTATGCACACTGACTTTCATGACTGTATTTGTACACCATTCTTTTTTCCCCATTCATCTGCCTATTTCCCACTAACCCATCATCCCATTCAAAACATATTTTAGCTTCATAACAGCTATTTTGTTAGGCTGTTGATTGCTCATATATTACATTGTGCATATACTACATAGTTAGTCAGCTTGGTTAGGTATGCATATGACCCTGCATATGTTTACCTGGAGGATGTTATTTTGGATGTATGATCCCCATATGAGAGAAAACATTTACTCTTTGTCTTTCCAGGCCTGGCTTCCTTCATTCTGACCTTCCCCAGCTGTATCAATTTCCCTGCAAATGACATAATTCTTCCTGACATAGCAATAAAATTCCATTGTGCATGTGCATATGTATCTGATTTTCTTGACCTATACATCCATTATAAGGCATCTGGGCTATTTCCCTAACTTGGCTATTATTAATAGTGCTGCAGTCCTATTCTCTATTAATACAAGTTCCCTTATGAGGAAAAAGCTGGGAATAATATTCCAGTATCAACATCCACACATTTTTAAAAGCTACGTTAAAATCCAAAGTGTTACCATTATCGGCAGAACGGAATTTTCTTCTTATAAAATATTCTCCCCAGGGCTCCCTTCATGTCTCTGTTCCTGAGGCTGTAGATGAAGGGGTTCAGCATGGGGGTCACCACCGTGTACATCATCGCCATGACAGTCTCCTTCACGGTGGAGTTATTGGCTGATGGACATAAATAGAGAGCACCAGCTGTCCCATAGAACAGTGACACCACTGCTAGATGGGAGCCACAGGTAGAGAAGACTTTGTGGATACTTCTAACAGAAAGGACCTTGAGGATGGAGGAGACAATTCGTGCATAGGACATGATGATGAGTAGAAATGGAGTGACAATTATAAGACATCCCATGATAAATATCACCAACTCATTGACATGTGTGTCAGAGCAGGCCAGCTTCACAAGAGCTGACAAATCACAGAAAAAGTGGGGAATCACGTTGTTCTCACAGAATGACAGCCTGGCCACGAGCAGGGTGTGCAGCATGGCATGCAACGTGGTCAGCAGCCAGGACAACGCCAGCAGACCCCCACACAGCTTGGGGCTCATGATGCTGGTGTAGTGTAAGGGGAAGCAGATGGCCACATAGCGGTCATAGGCCATGGCCAAAAGGAGAAAGCTCTCCAGGTCTCCAAAATACAGGAAGAAGTACATCTGTGTCAGGCAGCCTGTGTAGGGGATGGCTGGGACTTGGCTCTGCATGTTCTGCAAGAGTTTGGGCATTGTGACTGAGGAGAAGCAGAGGTCAGAGAAGGACAAGTTGCTGAGAAGCAAATACATGGGTGTGTGGAGCTGGGGGTCCAGTCGAATAAGGATAATGATGAGGAGGTTCCCCAGGACAGTGGTAAGGTACATGGCTAGAAATAGGGCATAGAACAGGTGTTGGTGCTCAGCTTTGATGGGCAGGCCCAGGAGGAGGAACTCTGAGATGATAGTTTGGTTTCTTTCTGTCATGCTTTGTCTTCAGTATATTTAAAAGAAATAATATTGTTTCCTGTAAGTCCAAATAAAAATAAATGTATGTGCATGTTTATGTTCTGTTAAGTGTTCTCAGTAATTAACCCACCCTCATCATAGCAATTAGAATATCAAAACACCTTCTGCCTATAATCTGTACAAATTTAGCAACTCTCAGTCATCGATATTTTTTCAGTTTTGTATACTTTCCAAAGCTTATTATTTATTAGCTTGGGAGAGACAAAATGCATTAAGTTTTCCTTACCTGCCTGATTGATAATCCTAGCCAACTCCAGCTGATGGTCCTAGAAGATTTTTCCATATTTTTTCTTCTTATAATTCTATATATACTCCCAAGAAAAAACTAATCTACTTCAATGTCTTACATTACCATTTAGCACTCAGGTATCCATGGCTCTCTAATCTGCAAAACTCTGTATTCCATTTTTTATTTTTAAAAAATTATTAAGTAGTTATACCATAAATAAAATAATAGAAGTAGTAAGAAGTGATATTTAATTCCTACTTCATAGAGTTGCTACTACATTAAAATAATGGGATTACTAGAGAGTACATGGCATGATAAGTAAAAATACTTATTATTCTTTTGAAAGTCAAAATCAATTTTATTTTATTTATTTTTTTAACATTAAAAAATTTAATTGTGAAAATACTGTACAGAGGGTCAATTTTATTTTTTGTGTACCAACTTGCAGATGTTCTTTTTTATTGTTATTATAAAGGTGATATACATTGGGGTTGCAGTTACGTAAGTCAGGTCATGAATACATTTCTTTTTAGACAATGTTACCTCTTCCCTTCTGCTCTCCCAGTTTTCCCTCCCATCCCTATCCACAGGTTGTATAGTTCATTTTCAACTTAGTGTCTAGTGAGTATCACTGCTGCATTTGTTTATCCTTTGTCCTTCCATTTCTGTGATGCTCCATTGCCCTCCCAAAGACAGATAAATGAACAAACAAGACCAAAAGAAAAAGAAACAAAAGCAGGAACAAAGAAAAAATACCTCTTGTTTCTATTTCTTGGAGTATATTTTGGTAAGTATTATTTTATATGATCAGATGCACACAGGTATGGTGACTTTGTGTTCCTCTCAAAAATCTCCTCCTTTGGTCTCACTATGTGTGAATGTCTTGAGTTCTGTGCAATTTACCATGTCCCAATGTATATTTAGATCTAGATTCTGCATTACTTTTTTTTAAAGATAGAAGGTATCTATTAATTAAAATACTTCTACAATGTGGCAACATCTTGGTAGGCTGAGATATGACAAAGGGGCGTTACCATACCTGAAAAATTATCCAGCAGGGCACAAATTGCCAGGAAACCAAACCCTTCAGCATGGAAAAACGATAAGGTATAGGAGAAGGAAAAACAATCAATTGGTTTACCCTCTTCACACATGTCTAGATGGCAGTGCCATGACCCTAGATTTGGCCACCTTTTACTATTTATAAGCAAGGAATTATCAGTCTCTCTAGTCATCAGCTATATCTGCCCTAACTCTGCTCACATCTCCCTTCTAGACATCCCTGGGCCTACGAGGATCTGGATCCCAGTGGAGTCCAGATCTAAGGACATGATAATTACCCAAGACCTCTCTAGGACCAAAGCTGTTAAAGTCCTCTAGAGGTGACCCATTATAATCACTAATCACATCTGACTGACTGTTCTACTTTTTTGAAAAGTTTTCTTCAATAGTGTATAAAAGTCATTATTTCCCCTATTCCTTTCTACTCTCTCATCAAGTTTCCTAGTTTACTTTTCAGATATATGCATTGAGTATTATGGCTTTTTCTAGGATTCCTCTTTTCATTCATCTGTTCCACACCCCCCTCCAGTTTTCACTCCACTCAGTCAAGACATGTTGCAGTGTCACATCTGAGTATTGTTTTAGAAGGCTGGAAACTCATTGATAGATTCAGACTCTGACTATTCAGGAAATGGTCAGGAGTTATGTTGGGCTGTAGCATACATTATAGGTGGTAAAAGATCATTTAAAAAACAAAAATGGATGAGGGGTTGGGGATGTGGCTCAGTGGTAGAGTACTTGCCTAGCATGCACGAAGCCCTGGGTTTGATTCTTCAGTATCATGTAAACAAAAAAAAGCTGGAAATGGTGCTGCGGCTCAAGTGGTAGAATGCTAGCCCTGAGCAAAAGAAACTCAGGGACAGTACCCAGGCTCTGAGTTCAAGTCCCAGGACTGGCAAAAAAAAAAGGCTGAAAATATTCACAGGCCAGACTGTGAATGACTGAAAATATCTTAGGAATATGTAAATGTTCATAAACACTAATACAAGAATTATCAGTACAAGAATCATCCATGGGATCCAAACAGAATGTTACTGTGAAAAGATTGCTTTGGAACGATTGCAAGTGACTGTCTCTGAGTATAACATTTTTTCCATGTGCACAGGAGATAAACCTTCTATGAACAAGGACCAGACTTTTCTGAAGTTTCATTTACATTACTTCTTTAATTGCTTATTTTTTGCCATAACCATGGAACCATAACCAAATCAAGTCATGAACAATTAATCCTACATAATCTTTGAAAATTTTTGTGCTTACATTTAAGTTTCTGATTCCTACAGATTTAATTTTTAATTTTAATTTATTTTTAATTTAATTTTCTAGATTTCATTCTGGAAAAGTGGGGTTCATTTGTCCCAGCACAATTTGTTGAAAACTTTCTTTTACCATTGAATAGCCCTGGACTTTTTTTTCTTTGTTGGTGTAGTACTGCGGCTTGAATTCAGGGATTAGCTCTTGTGTGGCATTTTCATTGATGGCCGAGGCTCTACCACTTGAGAAAAGCCTACATGTTCAGCTTTTGACTGCTTATTGGAGATAAATGTTTCTCAGATTTGTCTGCCTGGGCTAATTTTTAACTGTTATCCTCAGATCTAAGCTCCTAAGTGGCTTGGATTACAGGTATGAGCCACTGGCACCTGACTTAGCCTTGACATTTGTGTAGAAAGCCAATTGATTTGAGATTGGATTTATCTTGGATGATCAGTCTATTGCACTATTTGTGTGCCTGTCCTTTCAGCAGTTTTGTAAAATAACTTTGTGACAAGTTCTAAAATTGTATACGATGAAACATCTAATTCAATTATTTTGGAAATCTGGGGTATCGCAATTCCTGTACACTTTGGGGAGCAGATTTTTCCAAAATAACTATTAGGATTTTGGTGAGGATTTCAGTGAGTTTATAGATAGCTTTGGTTATTATCAACAGCTTAACAACATCATTTTTTCCCTAACAAAGAACACAGATTTGATTTATTTAAGTCTTTGATTTCTTTCAACAATGGTTTGTAGCTTGCAGTGAATGAATTTGTACCTCCTTAGGAATATTTATTATGATGTATTTTTGTCTCTATGGTGTTGTTATGAACAGAAGTATTTTTATTTGCACATTAAATTGCACAAAGCACATGGTTTCATTATGACACTTCCAAATATGACTATAACTTACTTTCTTCGTGTTAATTTATTATTCTTTCCGTTTCCCTCAAGTCCTCCTTTGCCTTCCTCTCACCTCAATTAGATTACATCTTCCACATAACAGTCCTCATGCTTTCATATTTTTAAAAATCTGTATTTCCCATGAAAGAGAAAACATATATATTTATCTTTCTGAGTATGGCTTATTCTACTATTTTTCCCACAAATGACACAGTTCTCACTTATGGATGCATAGGACTACAATCTGTACAGATACCTTTTCTTGGCTAATTGTGCTGCTAAGCTCCTAAGCATGTTGCATAGCTTGGCTATTGTGAATAGTGCTTCAAGAAACAGATGTGCAGGTATGTCTACTTTATGGTGGCTTTGATTATTTTGGATATATACCCAAGATCTTACAGTCATAAACCAGTTCTATTTTTAGTTTTTCAGAAACCTCCATACTGATTTCCATAGTGGGTACACTAAGTTTACATTCCCACCAGCAGGGTGTGAAGGCTCCTTTCTCCTTGTATCCTTGCAGCTTTGTGTGTGTGTGTGTGTGTGTGTGTGTGTGTGTGTATCTTCTTGACAAGAGCCATTCTGACTTGTGTGTGGTGGAATATCAATATAGTTCTGATTTGCAACTCCTTTAGAATTAAGTATGTGGAACATTTCTTCATATATTCCTTCTCTTGAAAACTGTTTAACCATTTGCCCATTTATTAATTGGATTATTCATTCTTTTGGTGTCTCATTTTGGAACTCTATATATTCTGGATATTAATAGTGTATCCAAGGAAGAGCTGGCAAATTATTTTCTCCCATTCTGTAAAGTTACTTTTGATTCTAGAAATAACTTATGTGATGCAATATATTTAATGTTTTGCAATCCCAGTTTTCAATTCTGTTCTTATTTCCTGATATATTGGAGTTCTGTTCAGAAAAAAATTATCTGTAACTACACCTTCATGGGTTTTTCTCTAGCAGTTTTCAAGTTTCTGTCCTTACATTAAGTTTTAAAATCCATTTTGAATTCCTTTTTTTTTATTGTAAAGATGCTGTACAGAGGGGTGACAGTTACGTAAGGCAATGACCACAATACTTGTCCATCATTGTTACCCCTTCCCTTGTTGTTGTCCCACTATCCCTTCCCTCCCCCACCTCCCACACTCTTCCCCACCCCCACCTGAAGTTGTAAAGTTCATTTCCAATATACTGTCCTGTTGCAATGGGTCATCCTGTGTACTTGTTTCACGATTTTGTTATTTCCCTTCCCCTTCCCAGATTAGATAGATGTATATATAAGATGCATGGTACCAAAATCAAGTGACAACAGGGGATATTCCATAGGGGGAACAACATACAAAGGAAACAAAAAACTCCACTTAGTAAATTTAAAACCACAACAACACAGACTTCTTGTGTCCATACCTTGGGGTTCGTTTCACTTAGCCTCATCTTATATGGTCATATGTACATAGCTTTTGAGCTCATCTGATCAGATTATCCTATAAGTATACTAATT